GAGTTCAAAGACGCTCAAAGCTCAGCTCAAAGCTGGCAAGAGAAACTGGGATGGGCAGTTGTTTACAGTCAAAAGTTGGTTTGAATATTGTTAATAATCCACCACCGCACCAGCCTTATGGCCGCGGTGCGTTAAAATACAGACAGTTCGGTGGTAATAATTCCGTCGAGGCGCTGGACTCACCTGGAGACATCCAAGTCTCTGTGATGCAGATAAAATCCAAATCGTGCTTTTGAAATTAGTCCCTGAGGATAAAACTTTTGTTGGTAATAGATCTTGCGTTGACCAAACACATCCGGATACTGTCCAAAGTGGACCCAGCAGCGGTGGAGGGAGTGCGCGCCAGTGGCCACAGATTTTCAATAACGGCCCCTCCGGGTCGGCCCGTGCGCCACACCAGCCGACAACTCCCGTTGTTTACCTGGTGCGGGCACGCGGGAAGCTGGCGATGGAAACCCTGACCACCAGCTGGAGAGGAAGATGCAGCGTGCAGTGCTTTAAGCTTTACCAGACGCCCAGCACGTTTTCCCCGGCGTCTGGAGCGATATCTCCAAGCAGGCAGGTGAGGAGCACCATGGAGGTAAACAGGCACGTCCACCAGCAGCGGGGGAAGAGGGGGTGGTCCAGTGGTACGCTCATATTGATCCAAATAAGCGACTTCGGCGGCAGAAAATCGAAGATCCAGAAGCTGTTGTCGGTCATACACCAGTAGCAAGTTTATGTCCCAGATGAAAAACAAACAAAACACAAATAATCCGAACACAATCGTGGATTGCAAGCCATGTACACGGGCGCCATCTTACTGGAAGTCCAAAATGATACCATTCTTAAACTGCAGTTGTGAGCCACACAAAATCACTCCAAAGGCCGTAAATGGCCCTTGGGCCATAGTTTGGACATCCATGCATTACAGGGTACAGGTATTATAATTACAATAAATATTATGTCCAAGATTAGTTAGATTGGTGTTCAGTGTTGCAGTCTTGAGTCTGCTGGTTCAAGTCCAGGTTGTGTTAGGAAGTGCACCTGACCTAAACATTTCTAAATCTTTCATGTGAGTTTGCTCGAGTGACCCCTGCAGACAGGAGTAGCTAGAAGAGAAACATATACAGTATGTCCATTGGTACCACAGGGTTAATATGGGAAACTTAATAATTAGTACCATAAATGGTTGCTTGTTTTATAAGGTGATAAATTTGCTATATTTTTTAGTAAAACATGGTTTTAACTAGAGCCGTTTGACTCTGTTTAACCAGTTTGATTTTTAAAGAAGGTTTTGGGTTAAACTTTACCTTCCAACAAAGTATACAAACATGAGATCAAATATCTTTGTTCCTAGCTTGAGAGCATAACTTGTCTTTGTCATAAAAATAAAAAAAAACTATATTACTGTTTTAGACTTGGTCAAGATGATTTAGGAAGGAACAAAAGTAAAAATTAGTTAGTTTTTTTGTTGTCATTCTAATGTGTGCTTTCTACTCTGCAGGACATTGATGAGGAGATTGAAGCAGAATACAACATCCTCAAAGCTCTTTCTGACCACCCGAATGTTGTCAAGTTTTATGGGATGTACTACAAGAAGGATCAGAAATGTGGGGACCAGCTGTGGCTTGTACTGGAGGTAAAGTCACTTATCAAAGTCAATATCTGTCATTAGTTTTAGTTTTAAGTCTTGTGTCTTGCCCTGGCAGATATAAGCAGTGGTGCCCTTGTGTGACCAGGGATTGTGTAAGAGTGTTAGCCACCACAGGCATCCCAGGTGTTTATTTACTGCCTACCTGGGGGATTTGGTTGAATGCCAGTTGGCATCATGGGGGTGAGGGTTAGACGTTGTGGGCTCCCTGCTGTGAGTGGCAGAGCTGAAGTTGTTTCAGCAGATTACTTTATACGATTAAAAGACAGAAGCTCAGGGTGAAACGCCTCAGTTGCTGTTGATTTCTGATGTTTAGGCTCATGGTATATTGAACACTATTTTCATGCACTTGCTGATGTAAGGGCAAAAAACATTGAGCTGGATTTTTTATTAAACTTCAAGAAGCACTGTGGTGCTGCTGCTTTCTGCACATGAAAAAAAAGCATGGCCTCCTGTGCCCTGCTTCTCTAGCTTTCATCAGTCATTGCCTGCTGTAGCTCTTTTGAAATGTCAAACTCTAGACAAACATATAATAGAGGTCAACCTCCGGTGAAAAAAACTGTTTGTGAGGTTCAGCACTTCAAACAGCAGTTATTGCTCTGTTCTGATGCTCTGACCATGTAGCTTTTGTTTGTGCTTTGATACAAAGCAAGACAAACCTGGAGCCAAATGATAAACTACCAGAGGACTGATCCAGGAAAAAATTAAATAGTTTTTGTCCTTAACGCCTTTGATTAAGTAGTTTTATTTCTTTGCTGACTCCCTGTCAAATCCAGAATTGAATTCAAAATCTTACTTCTAACCTACAAACCCCTCAACAGCCTAGCTCCATCTTATATAACAGATCTTTTTGTTCCATATTTTTCTAACAGAGCACTTTGCTCTCAGACTGCAGGCTTACTTGCAGTTCCTCGAGTTTCCAAAAGTAGAATGGGAGGAAGATCTTTCAGTTATCAGGCTCCTCTCTTGTGGAATCAACTTTCAGTTTCTGTCCGTGAGGTTGACACATTATCCAGTTTTAAGACTGGGCTTAAGGATTTCCTTTTTGATAAATCCTATAGTTAGGGTTGGCTTGTTATGCTGCTAATGGCTTAGACTACTCGAGGACAAACTGACCACATTTCTTATAATGAATTGTTAAATTTGGATAGTTTGCATATCATATTTCTATCTTAACATGATTCTTGACCTGCCATTGTGTATCTGTTCCTACCAAACCCAGTCGGTCGAAGCAGACGGCCGCTTGTCTTGAGCCTGGTTCTGCTAAAGGTTTCTTCCTCATCAGGGAGTTTTTCTTTTCCACTGTCGCCTTCATGCTTGCTCAAGATGAGAGTTCTGTGATGGAGTTAAAGTCAAAGCAATCTGCTCCTCTGATTAATAACGTTATTAACTTTATATTTCTATAAATGTTTCTGTTCAGCGCCCTGAGACGACTTCTATTGTGACTTGGCGCTATACAAATAAACTGAACTGAATTTATCTTTCTATTTAATTTATTTGAGTTTCACTTGTATTTGGATGGCGTGTCGGAAAGGAGCCAGTAAAGGAGAAGAGAATAATCACCAAGCTAGGGAAATGTGTTAAAATTTAATTTAAAATCACGTCTCATTTTAAAATACAAAAATCTTTCATCTGACTAGAAACTTTGTAACATTTTGACCTTTAATTTCTGTTTGAATTTAAGATAAATCTTAGCCAACTAGGATTCATGTCAGAAAGGCATGCTGTGATACAGAGGATTTTAGGCATCTAGTTGAGTGTCGTCTGCATAGAAACGGTACATCATGTTTCTGAATCTCATGGCTTAAACCTCAACTTCTTCCATTAATGAAGCAAAATACTAAACTTTACTGACGTGCCGTCTCCTCAGTGCACTCATGTATGTGCATAATAAAATTTACAGTAAGCAGTAGTTTCAGAACAATAAGACAAAGAAGACCTGTATAAATGCTGTCCATTTTGGTTTTTATAAAGCAATCCTTGCAAATAGTGTTGGGGCAGGGCAGCTGATTTGGGACCCGAAGGTCCTATGGGTTCGATCTCCAGTCATTGCACATCTCGTGGTGTCTCTGAGCAGGACACCTTCTCCCAAGTTGCTCTCCGGGCACTTTCCATAGCTGCCCACTGCTGGTGGTGGATGGGTTAAAAGCAGAGAGCCAATTTCACCATTGTATGGGAACATACAATGATGACAATCCATAACACATTATTATTATTATTAAAAACGATTATGGGGAGAAATCATGTTTGATCACTTGCTGACAACAATGTGGACAGCCTGCCCAGAAAATCTAATTTGAAAAACAAATATGATTTGCCTTCAGATCACTGGATAGCCACTGTGTTCTTCTACAGCTCACAGTTTGCTTTGCAGAATTTATCATTTGCAATGCAGTTGCTAAGCTTCACATTGAGCTAACATGTAAAACTGTCTTCTATGACAATTTTTTGATATTTTAAATGGATTTTTTCATTTTTGTTTTGGCTTTTGGCTCAAGCATATGATCCATTTGCTAATGACATCTCGAAAGTAACATGTGCACTGTTCATCTTTCTGCTACAGGAGCAGAGTTTCTATATTTGTGTAATCCAAGCTTTGAAGGTTCTGCATTAACAGCAGTAATGTTATGCAAAGCCAGAAGATAGTGTTCACCTCTCCATCTTGTGTTTCTTTCCTTTCATCACTGTCCTTCCTCATGACCTTTGCACAGGTTCTTGCAGTTACTTCGCCTCGGGGCCAAGCTGTTAAATGAATACATGGAGGTTCGTTATTGTTCGTGTAGTTTTAGTGTCCATCATGGTTGATGTTAGCTGAAAGGGATTATTTCCTTTGGTTGAAGATGCAAATGTTGCATGAGCTGTGTACTCTGTGGCTGCAAATTTCTCTTGCAAATGTCTGCAACCAGCAGCATAAATCTGGTCAGTCATGCGGCTGAAATGTTTGCCTCATAGTATCTGTGGCAGCATTGTGTATATGTGTGCACATCATTGCAAGTGCACATGTAGTATTTGGGAGGTTAAAAAAAAATACCACGCAAACAAGGTGGTCATTTACCATGGTTACTGTCCCTCCTTTTGAAACTGTAATTTTCCATCCTTTTGCGGTGCTGAGGAGCCTTTGCACTGACAGCAGGCTGCTCATTATGAGCCCAATTCATACAAATTGCTTCCCCTTCTTTGTTAGTCTTCTATTGAGGTCCAGGAGCTTTTGGCTTTGCCTCTGTGGTGCGTTCTTTTATGATTGCAGATGTGGGCAGAAATGAACAATCTTTCATGCACGAGGACTTGCTTAGTGAAGTTAAAAACACTTCCAAGACATCAATGATGGAGGAACTTTTGTTCTCTAATTGGAAAAAGGAAGCTGATTTGGGTGTACATTTCACCCATGTTTCATCAAAGCAAACTCTAAATGAAGGTCAAAGACGCAGCCTCTTCTTCTGAAAACATCTTCATCATTCTGAAATGCATCATGCTGACATATCAAGCTCAGTGCATTGAACATATAACATTAAGCATAAATATGGTTTTAGCTTTATGTGGACTGCAAGCGTGTAATAATGTTGATCACAATGCATTTAGTTATAGCTATGGAATAATAATTTTTAATTGTTTGTTTTCGTACTGACACTTAGTCAGGAATGGTTGCAATCCTTAGCTCATTTGAGACCTTTAGCATCTTTTTTCTGTACGGAAGGAACTGATCTAAAGTGTTTAAGTAATTAATTAGCTTGTGTTCTTAATTAGTCATCTGACTTTAAAACAAGAAATGTGAGCTTGAGACAATCGTTAAATACCCACTGTTATATTTTTACATAATTGTTTCCCTACACTTTAGTTTAATTTAGCTGTTGTTTGGTAAGTTTAGAGAAAAATCCTTTTGAGACTTATTTAGAAAGTTTACTGAATTGACGGTAAAAGAGATAGTTTGGTAATTTTTAAGTTATGTTTCCAAATAGATGTCAATACCTTATCAGACTATTCATCAGTCATATAGAAGAGAGACTGGAGAAAACTATGTTTTTGTCCATAATTCAAATGGATAATTGTCTCTTTTGTAGCATTTTTAGGCAAATACACAGCTGCTGTGAAGGAATAATTTTTACATTTGCACAGATTAAACCTTTATACTTTATCATAAGACCATTTGTTCTATTAGTCCTTGTTTTCTCAACCAATCAACATTCACAAAAAGAACAAAACAGAGAAACTTGAAGATGCTGCTGTTTGCAGTGCTGTATTGGTCACACGATATCAGAAATACTTTCTTATTATCAATAATACATGAGAAAAACAAAACAGTATTTATTATTATGTGTTTGGATTAGGTTGACATAAATGTAAGCCTTTGTTTCAGATAATCCCATCTGTAAATTTTGAAACCAGCACTATTTTCTTTTTTCTTGCTCATCTCCTTCTGTGGCACAGCAGCCTCAAGTAAAAGTCAACTGTAAACTTTTAGTCTTTCCAGTGTCTTCAGACATCCATTATCAATGAGGTTTAAAACTTTAATCCTTTCTTGGGCTTTTTGTCACGATCCTCAATGTTGGAACCCAATTGCAGAGAGATGAGTGAGGCAGGAGTTCAAAAACCAAAACAATTTATTTTTTTAACAACAAAACAAAAGGCTGTCGGTGCAGCAAAACTTACTTTTGGCAGATTGGATCAGAAATAATGCAGAGCAGATCATCAGGGGGGCAGAAACCAGGCAAGGCAGAAGAGGATTGTGAAGTCAGAGAACATAGAACAATCACCGGACAAGGAGTGAAGGAAAGAAAGGCTTTTTATGTGACAGAGGGAGAGTTAGTAATGAGAGCACCTGGGCAAGTGGCTGATGAGGGACAGGTGTGAATGATAAAGACTGAGTGGAGAAGCAGACTGAGGAATGAGAGGAACATAACAGAAACAGATAAACAGAAAATCACACACAAAGCAGAACAACAAAAAATATAAAAAGCAGACAGAGACAGAAACTTGAAATAGAAGGAAAT